GTCTTTTCATCTTTGAATCCCCTGGCCAAACAGGTACCAAACAGATGCCTAGTATGCTACCTCTGGTCTCTACTAATAGTATAAGCTCATATTCTCTTTTTTGCCTGCTGCAGTGTAAGAGATGTTCCTCTCCTATTCCAAGATTAATCCCTAGCTCAATGCTTGGTGTCCCAACCCATCTCTGTTTTCAGTAATCTTGTATCATTGCCTTTCTCTACCAGCATCTCCAAATTCTTATTAATTCTGGAAYCCCTTTCATAGAAACAATTCTATGAACTCCCTTAGAAATTTATTAAATCACTTCATTATTATATATGATAAAGAGGAAAATTTAGTAAAATAATTTTACTTAAAATAAGGATAAATATAAAGATTGTAATTTGATATTTATTTTGAAAGTAACTTTCCTATTTAGTAAATAATGCCACAATTTCATTTCATAAATTAAGTCCTTTCTGTGTTGATAGTGTTATGAAAAACGTATAACTAACCAATAGCATAAATATTTTATCATTCAAAAGTAGATTTTAAATTAAACCCACATTATAGAATTAAAACAAAAATAGCTCTGTTATGCTTTTATAATTTTTTTGTTTTTTGAATGTTTAATTGTGGCTTTCTCTTTTTGTTATTAAATTATAAAATATAGGTTAAGGTGTCAGCCTTCTATTTTCAAGCATTATTTTTGAAACTAAAAATATTAATCTTAGTCTTAAAGTCTTAATTTCAAAATTAAAATGTCAAATTATAAAAAAGTCAATATGTATTTTGTATTTTAATACTGGCTCTTGCAGAATAAATTATTGGGGCTGGGATTGTAGTACAGTGGTAGAGCATTTGCCTAGCATGTGTGAGGCACTTGGTTTGATTCTCAGCACCACATATAAATAAATAAAATGTCCACTGGTAATTAAAAAAAATTTAAAAAGATAAATTATTCTTTAAAAAATAAAATGTGTGGATTTGGTAAAGATCATCCTGAGGCTTGTTTATAGGAGAATATTCAAATTTAAATTCATTATGAGTTTGTTACATTGCAATCAGAAGCTTTTAGACTCTAGACAATGATTTATATACACATATCATTTAAAGAATACATTACTACATAAAAGGAAAAGAACTATGCAGAACTATATAACTGACACAACACATAGGATTGCTGGGGGTTGGTAACACAGTACAGAGCAGATGAGATCACACTAGTGTTCAATGGAATGTTGAACTTGGAGGCCTTGTTTACTCTGATAGACTGAGGGGCTCTCACAGGGTTCTATTTTCCAGGGAGAAATATGTGAATCAATAATTATTTTAAAATAGAAATGGGAGAGGGAGCCATCTTTATCATGACTTCCCTAGGTTGCCTATGTGGACACAAGAGGTTCCTTATTATTAATCTTGATCTTTACATCTTCAGTGATCTTTACAGTCAGAATTTAATGCGTTTACATTTATTCCAACTTAAAATCAAAAAAATTCCCTGCCTTAAAATGGTCCTTCCAAAATATGCCTCCACCAACAGTTGGTCCCTCTGTTTCTCTTGCTTTCTGTCTTCTTTTGCAGCCAAACCTCATAAAAAAAGTGGTTTAAATTTGCTATTTCAGATATTCAACTCACTCTAATTTTTCAACTCCTGTAATCTGGTTTTGAATCCACCTACTCTTCAACTAAAATTGTTTTTGTTAATGTAACCAGTGATGTGCTTGTAAATTAAAGGCCAGTAGATACTTTTCAGTCTTATTTAACTTAACTCAGGAGCATCTGATTGATCACTTCCTTTTCCCTAGGCATTTCCATCCTTTCATATGTGTGACAACAAGTTTTTAATTTTCTTCAGGTTGCTTTGTCTCAATCTCTTCTTTCAATGTTTACCTTACCTTTAAAAGTGTTGGTGTTTCTTGGGATCCATAAATCCTTCTTTCTTCCTATTATGCTTATTTCTGGTGACCTTATTTATTCCCAAAGTTTGAAATATCCTTCAGAGACCAAAGGAGATTTCTATCACCAGCCCAGACCTACATCCTTAGTTTTCTCCTTTAAGTCCACCTGCTTATTCAAGGTATCCATTTGAACAATGCATTTGAACATTAAATTCAACATGGTGAAAACTTAACACTTGGTCTTATTCCAAACCCAGGCAATCTCTTTTTTTTTATTATTTTTAAATTGTTTTTTAATTTTTAAATATTTATTTTTAGTATTCGGCGGACACAACATCTTTGTTTGTATGTGGTGCTGAGGACCGAACCCTGGCCGCACGCATGCCAGGCAAGCGCGCTATCGCTTGAGCCACATCTCCAGCCCTGCCCTAGGCAATCTCAACCACAAACCTACTTCTTTGAAGTGTTCTTTAGTTCTCAATAAGTAACATCACTAGACACTCCTTGCTCATGCTAGGTTCTTGACATGCTCTCCTTCTCTATCCACAACCAAGAGCCAATTAATTAAGTCCTGTGGATTCTATCTCCTATGTAATTTCCCAATCTGTTTGCTTCTCTTCATCCCATTATCAAGCCCAAGCCACCACCACCACCATCATCACTTGACAACTCTAATAGGTCCCTAATTGATCTTAGATAATCACTATGGTTCTACTCTAATCCATTATCTGTTCTGGGTTATTATTAAAATGCAAATTTGATCCCATCATTCACCTCTATTTTTAAAAAACATTTTTTTAAAAATTTCTTCCCATTAGTAACAGGATAAAATAAAAAGTCTACAAAAAAATTTAAAGGCCATGCCTATAGGTCTGGCCTTTGCCTATCTCTCCAACCTCATCACATGTCACTCTTTATGATAAATACACAGTTCTTTCTGATTCCCAAAAGTACCATGCTTTCCTATGTCAGAATCTTCAGTTTTATAGTTGTCTTTAATTGGCAAATTCTCTTAGGAGAGGACCAGATAATTAAATATATTAGGTTTTGTGGGCCAAGAAGACTCACTGACTGAACTACTATAACCCTGACATCCTGGCATTGTGGCACAAAAGCAGCCACAGGCAACAGGTCAATGAATAAGAGTATGTTTCTGGGCCATAAAAATAGGTTATGGGCTGGGGCAAAGTTTGTCAATTCCTCTTTTAGAAGACTAATAATCCCTACCCCATCCTTTACACATTTAAGTGTTATTTTCTCGCTGAAATTTTTCCTAATCAGAATATGACCATTTATTAAGTGTTCTTGTATCACACAGCATATTGCTTTTTTATGAAATCATTGTTATAATTAATTTGATATTCATGAAATTCTTCTGTCAATATTCACCTTCCCTGTAAAGATGTAAGCTCCACCAGAATGGAATTCATATCTACTTTGCTATTTTAGTATCAGCACGTGGTAGAGAACATAACACATAGTAGCAATCAATAAATATTTGTTGAAGGAATGAGTCATTAATTTGCTCTCTGACCTTTACTTGGCAAATTTATCTTTCTGAACCTTAGTTCTCCATCTGGAAATTGAGATGATAATAACAGGTTTACCTCAAGATACGTAAGATAATATGCATGAGTACATTTTGTGAACTGTAAAGAAATATAGCAATTTTAAAAGAAATATTAGAAATATGCTTTAGTTGCCTCATAAAGGAGCAAAACTAAGGCCCATGGGCCCAAATGTCTGGCTTGTTCTGACTTGTTCTCTAGCTAAGAATGATCTTTACCTTTTAAAGGGTCTAAAAAACAAAACAAAACAAAAAACAATATTACAGAAACCTTGTGTGACCTGCAAAGCCTAAAATAATTACTCTTTCTACCTTTATAGGAAGTTTGCTGACCCTGGCCTAGAACAGGGCTAGCTAGGCTTAAGTGACTATTTTAACAAGTGAAAGAATGAATGATTATTTGCAGATATACCTGTACTTTAATATTTCAGTGATTAAAAGTGGTAATATTTTCTGACTGCTTTTCATATATTCAATATAGCAATTAAAGCTATAAAATTATCCTACCCCTCCATGCTATGTTTACTTTAAATTAAAAAATAAAAGGGGTTTATGGAGGGGGTAGGATAATTTTCTCTAAATTATATCAACTATTTTTGAAAGACAGAAGGCATGGTATGGCTGGGGGGATGGGGTAGGGATGGAGAGCTGGATACCAAGAAAATGATCTTTATTGGAAGGCTGACTAGTGTTGTTATTTGATTGTTGTATAAAAGTCCAAATCTGCAGAAACCAACTTATTATTGGCTGTGCAATATTCAGATTTTTATTCTTGAGAAATCATGTATCACACAGAAATTAGAAATGGTATCATAAAATACAATAAAGATGTGTGTTTGCTATCAAAAACAAAAGAAAGCAAACATAAAACTCCAATACTGTCCAAAAAAAAAAAAAAGAAGTTTGGGGTCAAAAGATCAAGATCCAAGTTTGAAGTCTGTGACTTTAAGTATATCCATTAATCTGTTTGAGCTGTTTTTTGTTTTTCACCCAGAAAAAGAGAAAATAATTGCTGATGACATTTACTGGTGGCTATTATGAGTCAGATGCTTTACTCAAATTTTTTACCAAAGTGGGCATTCTTAGCATCAATACAGAGTTGAAAACACAGACCCTCTGATAGATTGAGTGACTTGCCTAAAGTAACACCACTAGAAAGAAGCAAAAGGTTTAGAGTCAAATCCTGATTCTACAGTACTATGAACACAACCTCTCATAAAATATTTAATGTCTTTAGGACTACTACATGCTTTATCTTATAAAAAGCATATAAAACTTAATTTTTAGAAGAAGTGTTTTGAATTTTCTCCATAATACAATATTATCAACTCAGGCTTTAAAGGCTATTTTCTCCACTATTCTATATTAAATCTAATTCTAGGTATATAGAGAATAGTCAGAAGGAAATGTTTCTTCTTCTCTATAAGAGCAACTTAAATCGAGGGAGCATAAATACACAGAAGTATTAGATTTTGAGTCATATTTCAAAATTCTCCTCTGTGTGAATCAAACACATCCAAAATATGGCACATCAGATACTATTAAACTTTTATTACCTCTGCTTCATTGTCTCATGTACTATCCCATGCTGGACACACTGTTCCTCCAATTCATTATTTCTTCTCTGTAACTTTTCTAGTTTGTCGTATGTATATTTTTTTTCTTGACTGAGTTGAGCTATTTCAGATCTAAAGAGGTAAAATCACAGAAATAATAAATGTTCTTAAAAAATAAAGCATATTTTTATTGTATAATCTTAACATTATCTTAAAATTCATACTTTAGCATAACTTTGTAATTAAAATTATTTGATGTAAAATAAAATACTTCAGAAATTTCAAAATGCTAGTGGGGGATATATGCGTTGTAAAGATTCAAGTCTCTACAGAAATAATATAACTTACTCCAATAAAATGGCTTCTCTAAGAAATAAGAAAAAGTGATAATAATCAACTCTCTTTATAAAAAGACTAGAATTTGGGGTTAGGGTTGTAACTCAGAGGTAGACCACTTGCCTGTGAGGCACTGGTTCTATCCTCAGCAACCACATAAAAATAAATAAAATAAAAGTATTGTGTCCATCTACAAATAAAAATATATTTTTAAAAAAGACTAGAATTCATCAAACAAATATTTCTTGAGTGCTTCCTGTAGCCCCGCTGTCAAACTGTTCCAGAAGTAATCCCATACCTCATTTCTATAAAAGTTTATTTTAGTTAACATAGCCAATTTAATGGTATACAGTTAAAAATCAACTAGTTCTGCAATGGCTAATTTTATGTATGAACTAGACTGTACCATAGTATTGAGATATATGGTCAAACAGTATTCTGGATATTTTTTGTGAAGGTATTTTGTGGATGAGATTCATTTAAATCAGTGGGCTTTGAATAAAGCAGATTATTCTCCATAATGTGGAAAGGACTCCTCCAAAGACTGACTTGTCAGGAGCAAGAGAATTCTGCCAGCAGATGGCATCTATACGTGAACCACATCTCTTCCTGGGCTCCCCATCCTGCCTGTCTATCCTGAAGATTGCAATCTTACCTAGCCTCCATTAACTATGGTAGCAACAAATTTCTTAAATCAATCAACCTTTTTTTCCTATCATTTAGATCGACTTAGAGTTAGATTGATCTGTTGATTGGTAGAACAACAGATATCATGTGGGTTCCGTTTTTCTAAAGAACCCTAATTAATACACGTTCTAAGTGGACTAATAATGAGAAACGGCAGTCTCCTGCCCGGAGACCTCTCAATCAAACTAAGCAGTGATGAATACTATTAGTTTTTGTAAAGCTCTTTTTTTTTTTCCTGGTGTTTATCTCTATATTTATAGGTGTGTTCATTCCATAACTCTTGTTTTATCAGTAAAGAAAAAATTCTAGTGACCTATGACAAATGAAGATGAGACTCTTTATATGCCTCCTTCCCAGCTTCTAATGCAATTACCAGTATTTCAGTAATAATATCAGTATTAACATTATAAAAACTACTTAAATATTGGTCTTTGCGTTCCAATATAGTATATTATGATTACATGTACACTTGTGTACAGTTGTTTTCTCCAAACCAGTGTAATTTTAGAAAAGGCTGATTGAGTGTCAAGCTATCTTTCCCCATAGGAGACTCCCAAACATTAATTAATATGTCATTCTTTTCACTATTGACATTTTATTTCTCAACAGAAGGAACTTCGAGTTTCTTGCTCTTGTGTGAAACCTTGACTTCTGTGGTTTGGGAACTGGGTGAAAATTAGGGTGAAGATTTTCTCTTTCAGAATGCATACCTTTTCTGAATCCCTCTATTCTAACTTCAGCGCCCTATTATAATCAGAGCTCTTGGGCTTAATCTCTTCAAAGAGRAAAACCCTAGTTTTCTGTGTGGAGGAGGGGCAGTCACCAGGCTGCACAGGGTGGAGGTGGAATTGTCAATTTTGGTTTCAGCCCCTATCTTCCAAGTTTTCCTGAAGTTGAGAGAAGATCACTTTATTTTGTACACAGGGATCCCCCTCTGTAAAGACTTAAGATTCACCTTTCTCCACTGCACTAAATCAGGTACAATAATCCCAATTTCCTTTCTGCTTTAAAGAATTTCCTTGGGGTCACAGATAGATCATCCGTTGATAACTGATGTACTTCTGGAAATATGCTGTTTTTAGCATCTTAGATGATGATCTCAAGTCTCAAACTTTGAAGATCAAAAAGACATATATTCAAGGAAAATTATATCCCTGTCCTCATTTTATTAAAGTTTAAGTCACTACCCACTGCCACCATCTTCTCACACCTGCTAGGTGGCACTTTATCAGTTAGAATTGGAACTTTAAAACAACAACAACAAAATATTTTACAATATAAAATATAAAGTTTTTACAAATAAAAATCATATATTTGAAAAATGTATGTTGGTGTGAGAAAAAAGTCTTGCTCTACAACCCAATATCTGGAAACTTATCAATAATATTTGGAAATCTATCAATAGATTGATCATAGTACTTAAATAAGGTGCTAACCTCACTCCAACAAAATTACAATTCAGGAAAGTACAAGGAATATGAAAAATATTTACAGAAGAAAAAACATAAATAGTCAACAAATATTTATAAAATATTCACTTTTATTTTTATTCAAAGAAATTCATAATAAAACCAGATACTACTATAAAAATTTATTATATGACTATACCAGATAGTGAAATTCATTCTTTAGTGATCTCAATTAATCTATAAGGTAATTGTTCATTTCCTTTTCTCCATGTGGTATATACAAAATTTAATGATTTGCCTAAGGTTACCCAAATGGCAAATAGCCAGACTCACATACAAATAATAGTCTATCCAACTCTAAAGGAGTAGGTAGTTCTACCCACTGTGCTATATTGCCTCTCATTCTTTTTTTTTTCATCTCTCATTTTTTAATGTCACATACTCAGATGGGTTATATATATATGCTGAGGAGAATTTAGTGTAATATTTAARCAAAGTAACACACACTGAAAGGATTCATAGTCTTTGGACTAGCAATCCCTTTTAAGCATCTCTACTGAGGGAATCATCAAAAATTCAGATTTATGTACAAAGTTATTGTCACATTATTATTCAGAATAGCTAAAAATTGGAAACATCTTAAATGTCTAATGAATTATTATTATTTTTTTTTAGAGAGAGAGAGAGAGAGAGAGAGAGAGAGAGAGAATTTTTAATATTTATTTTCTAGTTCTCGGCAGACACAACATCTTTGTTGGTATGTGGTGCTGAGGATCGAACCCGGGCCGCACGCATGCCAGACGGGCGCGCTACCGCCTGAGCCACATCCCCAGCCCCTCTAATGAATTATTATGCATACAAATGATTMAATTAAAGTTTTGTTTCCAGAGTATTTACTGATGTAGAAAAATGTTCATTAATGAGATATTAAGTGAAAAGCAGATGCAAAATGTACATGTAGCATAATCTCAATCACAATATAAATGTGTATGCACATAACACATTTACATACACATGGAAAATGATTAAATGGAAATATGTCAAAAGGATATAAAGCATATAATAGTTATTTCTGGCTGCTAATGGCTCAGGAAATTTTTTTCCTTAATTCTTCTTTGTATTTTCCAAATTTCCTACACTGAAGGTGTGTTACATAATCACAAAAATAAAAATACTATTTGTAAAGCACATATTTCCATAACATGCTTTGTTATGACAATTTTTTTTGCTTTGAATATTTCTTGTATTTTTTCTTTACTTACAATGGTAATTTCATAGCAATTTCCATTGTTCAATAAAAATTTGGTATATGTGTATGTGCATATCCTTTACCTATGTAGAGCTCATGATATTGCCATATAACTACTAAGTTGCAGAGTTCAAAGAGTAAACATACAAGTTTCTATTTTAATTTAGAGATACATTTGTGGTGTGATTATCCTAGTCTCATATAAAAGGATAATTGACTCCAGTTCATTTTCATAGAAAATTTAGGTAATTTTTGGCTTTTTGGAAGCATAAACTTTCCCTTGCATTTTTACATACCATTTATATTATGTAAGTGCATTTGCATGAAATRTAAGATATTTTACTACTATAATTTAGAATACAAGGATAATTGCTTTTAAAAGGAAAATAGGACATCTTCATTTTTTATTTTCAGATTCTGGTTTGACTTTTGGTAATAATCGGCAGAAGGCCACTATCAGTCTCCTCCTGCAGAACATAATTTTTGTGGTATCCCAACCTAACATCATCTAAACACGCAAGAGGAAAAAAACAGTTCAACCGGGTGTGTGTTCTTTACTTCAATTAAACTCACACAGTTGGATACCTACTGTTGCCAAAACAGTAATATAATTTATACATTATAGTCCACACAGTAAAACTACACTAAAAGTCATTTAACAATATTTATAACATCATAAAATATAGTGTTAAAATATATGAACTGCAATATGTACAAAAATTATAAAATTTGTTTCTCATCATCAGTGATTAAAACCAGGATCATTGCTCTAGCCTCAATACTCACAACCCTGGTGACAGATTAGAATTCAAATCTTAATGATCAATTTACAATTAACAAGATAGAAGTGAAACAAATTAAACCAACCATTATATATAACGAGACCCCATGGACTCCCATTGTTCCTCTTAATTACAAAACGCAAATCACAAATACACAATGGGCAGTGTTAGACATCAATCCACAAGCTTAGCAACCCAGAAAGTGACAATGACGGAAAAGAAAGAAGAGAGGCAAAACCGCGTAGATGCTGGTTCTGTGCCCTCTTCAGTCCTTTTCAGCATGCAAGGGGAGAAAGGCTGAGCTCTAGCACACAGCTGACCTCCAGCATATATCATATGCACTTCAAGGCTGGCAGAGACTCACTCCCAGCCAGCGTCCACCTTTCTGAGCTCTTCCCTGGCCAGGTTTTAATCCGCAATGCAAATCGCACTGTTAACATTTTACTGCTTATTCATCTAAGCGCCTGGGGAGAAGGAACACTTCCTTCACTTGATAAAGAAAGATCACAGTTTTACCAAGATATTGAAATATCTCCCTTTACCTCCTTCAAAAACAACCCCATAACTGTAAGAAGCTCCTGGAGTACTGGGGAATACAGACGGAAGGGTAGCTAAAGTTTATGTGAGCTTCAACTAAAATCAGCGAGAATGTCTGCCTGGTGCCAATTAAAAGCAAAATGGAATTAATCCTCTTGCCTGATGGTCAAAAACAAGCTATAAAAAATTTACAGAATCAGCATTTCATTTTTAGTTTTAAAATGGGATGTGCCATTCACAAACCCTGGGCTTGCAGACACCACTACGTGCACAGTGTRGAATACACACAGTGCAGAAAGTACCGTGTGTGCAAATCGCTATGGAGGCTTCCAGAGAACAGAAGTAATCCTCACTGTTATAATGCGACTTACTGTCTACTTGGGGGAGAAACCACAGACAACAGACACACACGAAGATACCATTTCAAAACATTTTCACAGAGCAGCCCAGCATGAGGCTAAGCAGAGAGTAAGAGTTTATGGGCACAAGGAGCCCAGGCTTTCAGCTTTTCTAGCGATTTTGCATGAGCTCTTGTTAAAAGATGAGATTTGTGAGTAAAAAAGCTTATTTAAATGGTAGGAATCCATTTGTTTATGGCATTTTGAATAACATAAAACTCAAAAATATTGCTGCAAGGAAAGGAGAGTTAAAATATGTGTTTTAAATTACTGATCAATACAAAATAAATACACTTACTTTCAGGAAAAAGTTTACTGTGGTACTCTGAGGAAAATTGGGATCAAAATTACCATATGGATTAGATATTTATTGTGGAGACTCAGATTCCACAATGACCAAACTTTAGAAACTCCAGGCTTTTTCTCATCTCAAAGTACACGGAAATTATTTATCAAAGTTTGGAACAGGGTATGCAAAGCATACTCATCAAGGGCTTCTTCAGTTCTTATTACATTTATAATTTTTTATTTAAAAAGAAATACTCTGAGCCTTCAAGTTCTGTAGATGGTTTTAAAGCAGAAGGTAACATCAAAATGGAATGTTAAATTTGGCAAGAATGAATTCTTGAAAATGTCATAGTAGGAATCCAGGGAGAAATGAGACTGGATTGATACAAACTTAAGAGCAAACAAACAAACAGACAAACCAAAAATCACAATTTATCCTACTTACTACTTTCTTGTGAAACACACAAAATGCACTTTTTGTAAATTTTGTGAGCACTTAAAATTTTAAAAATACTACATAGCAATTCACCAACTGTTTACTAACTTTCAGGCCTTATTTTTGAATTAACTTGTAAAGTTACAAACAGGTGACTATTTTAATCCAACAATTTTACCAAACCAGATGCGAAAGCTTGACCTCTAACACAACCAGATCCACTTTTTACTAATGCTGTTTGACTCTTAAAAAGGGTTTCTCTGTGATTCTGGCACTATATCTGTCAGAAAATGTACTCAGAACTTCCCTGGCAAGGGTAAGAGCTAGTGAAATGTTACCCAATTTACCARTCAAGACCCTTAAAACAATGCCACCAGTGACACAATAGCAGCTAGTGTGTATTGCCACATGCCAAGCCTTCCTTATCTTCGGGTTCTGCATCCACAAATTCAACCAACCACAGACCAGAATGTTGGGTCTGTCCTAAAGACACAATTTCCTTGTCATTATTTTCTAGACAATACAGTGTAATAATTATTTACATAGCATTACATTTATATATTATGTATTAGGTATTGCAAGTATTATACAGATGAATCAAAGCATACTGAAGAGGGCCACATCTCTTTTTTTTATATTTTGAATCAGCTCTATAATATTTGCAATACCTCAGAGACGAGTATTTGCCTTCCACGTGTGAGGCTCTGGGTTTGATCCCCAGCAATGAAAAAACACGTGTGTGTGTGTGTGTGTGTTTGTGTGTGTGATTTGCATGTTAACAGTGTGATTTGCATGTGTGTGTGTGTGTGTGTGTGTGTATGTATATGGGAGAATGCTATGTGGGTTGTATACAAATACTATGCCTTTTTATATAAGGGACTTGAGCATCTGCAGATATTGGTATCTAAAGGGGTCCTGGAACCAATCCCCCTTGGATACTGAGGGATGACAGTATATGCAAGTATGTTTGCTTTTCTATATATATTGTCTGAATTCCCACAACAATCCTGCAACATGATTTTGGAAATGTTTTTACAGACGGAGAAACTGAGCTTTGGGGAGATTTGGCAACATATTCAAGGTTGCACAGCTAAGTGACAAACTAAGACTCAAATCTAGTTCTTTCTGAATTCCAAATTGTTCTTTTTTGCACCCTGCTTGCCATCCACAAAAGAATAGGTAGATATCAGAAAGCATATCAGGGTATAGGGGGTAAAAACACACCTGTTTGTTTGTTTCATTCATTCATTCATTCATATGTTTTGGGTGCCACCTATGTGTCAGATACAGAGGAAAACACTTTAGGTCAGGAGCTGAAAGAAGAAAGAGGAGTGGAGAAGTGCCAAGGTTTAAATTCACTAGACTTGTAGAGGGTAAATTAATCTAGAGGAGGAAAAATAGGGTCCACAGGCACAGAGGACAGGTTAACCTTGGCTGGAAGGGTAGCAATTCTCCATGAAAATTTAAAGGTCATCTTTTCCTTCTAATCTTCCCCATCACCACTGTGGTCTGAATTTTCTTTCTTTTTCTTTTTTTTTTTTAATATATATACTTTTTTAGTTTTAGGTGGACACAATACATTTAGTTTATTTTTATGTGGTGCTGAGGACCAAACCCAGTGCCTCACACATGCCAGGCGAGCACTCTATCACTGAGCCCCAGCTCCAGCCCCTTTCTTTTTTTTTTTTTTTCCCTAAGAGATAGGGCCTTGCTGTGTTGCCCAGGCTGGTCTCAAATTCCTGGGCTCAAGTAACTCTCTTGTCTTAGCCTCTGGAGTAGGTAGAACTATAGYGGAGAACCACCAAATCCACTGAATCTGAGGATTCTTAAGTACTAGATGTAAAATATTATAATTATTGTAATAGAGACTTTAGAACCAGAAAGATCTAGGTTAGAATTTTATCTCTCCCATTTACCAGTTACACAGTTTTTGTCTCCTTATCTATAAAAAAGATAATAATTCCTATCTCAAGCTGTTGTGAGAATTAAATAATGTACATGAAGCACCTTTGTCTTTTCAATTTCCCTAATTATTTGACCTAAAGATAGGTTTTTTGTGTGTGTTTGTGCAAAATTATAGTAATAGATTAAAATTTGTTAGCTGTATCAACATAAGATTTTTAAACTGCTTGGTTTATCTGCATTCTTTATTAGAATAATTACTATGTTAAGCTTTGTTTTCTGAAATTTCATACTAATACTAAACTTTAAAAAAGTCAGGTAATAATATGTATACAAAATAATGGAAAACATTAAAGTGTTTATATGAACAATTAAGAAAAAACATACAAAAATATTTTCACAGAAAACTTATATCAACAGATAACTAATTTTAATATTAGATTATAATAGTAGAAATGCTGTTTTTTAAAGAAAAATTACAGTAATCAAACAAACAGTGCTCTGAAAATATTATACAACATTACCTACCTGCTTTTTTGAGAGATTTGTTCCAGTTTCTTGGCTAATGTACAGCATTCTTCCTTTAACTTTGTCAAAAATGTATTCTGGGAGGTCAGCAATGAATACTGTTCATTTTCTAGAAAATAACAATAAATCCCCAACAACATAAGATGTTTATAGTTGTAGCTCTGCAGGGCTTTCCATATGTAGAGTGGTAAAGTGCGTTAGCTCACTACATATTTCCTAGAAGTCATTAGAATACTTTCAATGTCCTAAATTAAAGGACCTGTCAACTGGTAAGACACTAAATCTTGTGAGACATTTATTTTCATAATAAAATTATACACCAGTAACATTTTTGATCATATCAGCTTAGAGTAACATTTCAGCATGTTCATAAATTGTCAAATACCTCAAGTGGAGTCATAGATGCTTATATCTTTGTAATATGCAAGATATTATATTTTTATTTTGACAATGCTACCATAAACAGTGTCAAAATTCTCACAACCAGATAATTCAAAACTAAAATCGAGGAATTCTCTTTTAYACTGAAACTCGTGCTTTATGTTTCACATTTATGCACATAGTTTACTACTCACACCCTCCCCCTTGAATCTTGGATATACTTCTCCTAATTACGAAGATAAACTATGTGATTTTCCTTAGAATGTTGATCTTATTGTCAACAGTATGTGCTTCCATGAAGATTTGGTCAAAGAAATTGAGTGTGCAAAATAAATGGAAGTGATTTAAAGGTGGTTTTAACAGCTTAAAAACTCTTATCTAATGCTCATTTTCTGCCCAAGACTCTTTAATCACTAGGAGCCTGCTAGCAGTAGGGGCCAACAATAATTTATCCTATAATTTCCTCTGTGTTTTTAGTGACATGATTTACATGAATCTGGTGAATTTTCATTTCTTCCGGCCAAATGCGGTGAAAAGAAAATCTCTACTGAAAGTGCTGAAGGGAATTTCGTGAGTCAATATGACATTTACCTCTTTATAAGTAAATAAATTTAATAAGTTAATAAGTTTAATAAAGTTAATGAAGTTAATAAATTTCATGATAGTGGTTTTCCACCTATGAGACAGGAAATAATTTTGTACCGTGTCATCAAATACAATATACATTAAATCCTGTGAAAATTACCTCTAAGTGTAAGTTGTGATAGATCCTTTATTCCTTTTTAATTTTAGCTAATGATTGGCAAAAAGCATATAGCACACAAAGCAAAAATAAATCAAGGCACTAAAATTAAGCAACATTTTTCTGGAAGAGACAGGATCAATTAAACTTTTGTTTTAATAGTACAATCAGCGTGGAGTATGTGGTGTGGAATTATAATGACTGACACTGTCTTGTTTTGACTAACACTGTCTGTGAACACACAACTCAAAAGTGAAAGGAACTACATAATGCTCCAACTGAACAAATCAAACTGCCTATTTTCAAAGTGCATTTTACTTTCAAATTAAAGGTAAAGAGTTACTGGCCAACTCAGTTTACAGAATAGTGCCAATGTGATGAAAGATGGCAATTTTTAGCCAAGCTGCCAGCTGTGGTCAATGCCTTGTATTAGTGAATTTTAACAGCAGTTGTGAGAACTTGAAGAATGCAAAGGATTAAACATCACTCTAGATTGGATTGGGGGAGGTGGGGAAATCATACAAATGCTAAAAATGTTCGAAGCTGCAAAGATTAAATAAAGGAACATATCAATTTGGAGCCACTGAATTACATCCAGCTGCGACAGTGAATTAAGAACCGATTAATGGCTAAAGCTTTTCTCCAGTTTGGATGCTGAAGCAAACTCATTAGGCTTTTAGAGTAGCTATAATGTGTGTACTGTGGGAACTGTTCAATGCTATTCAGGAGACTCTAACTGTAAGCTCAGAGCATTTCCCGCAGAGCTTCTGATGCTATTTTCTTTATATAACATGTGTGCCTGAAAACCCAGCCAAAAACAAGCCCTTTGTTTTTCTACTTTGTTGTGGTCTCTCTCAGCTTTACGTTTCTTGAACACAGGTAAATAAACTCATAATCCAGATGGTGCAACAGATGTGAGAGCAGCACTCTGAAATCAACAGACAGTGGGCAATACTTTCCATTTTCTCTTTTAAACGCTAACTAATATGTAATTCGGAATCTCCGGTGTAGTTAGCATCTGCTCCCTTCGGCCAGCCAAAGGTTACAGGTGTTCCTGATGTCATTTCACAGTAAGGCGTGGGCCTGGCTTGTGAGCGAGTGCCCAGGCTCTAATCTTTCCTTACCACCTACCAGTTTTGTCATGCTGGGCCTCCATTTGCTGTATCTTCTGTGTCAGCTCCTGCTCTCTTTGCTGGGCCTGAAGGGCTTGGGCCTTTGCTTCGTTGCTGAAGCTCTGCTGAATGCTATCTTTTTCCAGTCTGCAAAACAGAAAGGAGACATACAGAAATGTAATTTGCAGATCAACAGGCCTCCATCACTCCCCTATGGACCATAGAGAGCCCATAGGTAGTAAGTAAATTGTGAAGCATAAGAGGACAACAATCTTTCCATAGAACCCCCACACCAGAAGGGGAGCAATTCAAAAGGACCTATCATACAATATGAATACACACCATAACTCTATTTGCACAAAAGGACACAGTTCTAAAAATTAAAATAAAATGATAAATGAATAATGATATTGTATAACTGTAACTTTAAAGTACACATACCTTTTTCCCCCCTCTTTTGTAACATTCTCACTTGCACTGTCAATTAATCTTTCATCCTCTGAATGGTCAGTATTTCCTGAAGATCTTGGAATTCTAGCAACAGTAATGACTTAATTTTTAGTTTGAGAAAACCTTAAAAATTTGTTTTTCTTTTTTCTTTTTTTATTGTATTACTGTGGACTGAATCCAGGGGTGCTTTACCAATGATGTACATTCCAGTATTTTTTATTTATTTTGAGACAGAGTCTCTCACCAAGTTGCCCAGGCTGGCCTTGGACTTGTAATCCTCCTGCCTTAGCCTCCCAAATTGCTGGGATTACAGGCGAATGCCATCATGCTTGACAATCAAAATCTTAATTCTTAAAATTAAGCTTTGTAGGCCACTTCTGGTTTTCCTCCAAAACTTAAAATGGAATCTCAAATATAATAAAGGAGACTATCTAGAGGCCAGTAAATGATTCTATAGCACTGCATGMATGTTTTCGTTAAATATTTTCACACATCAGGCCGTATAATGTGAATATAAATATGAATATGAAAATGAATAACTTTCCTCAGCACTTCATAATAAAATTTATTTTGGGTCACACTGAAAGAAACTGCAGGATGAAAAGCTTCTATAGTCAAAGATAATATCCCATCCCACTGTGATAGGATATTGACCTATCCTACTAGGTCAACATCCAATCACACTGGCTCTTAAATAAAGAAACTTCTTGAACGATTAGAACCTAAGCAATACAAAGAACCTTATTACTGCAACATTGCAGATGAAGACACTGTGCATATATACCATGCACGTGTGTACACACACACACACACACACACACACACACACACTACATTGGTTCTTCAAACTCTAAATATGAGTGTTATGAGGGTTTCCTTCAATTAAGTGACTTAGTTATTTCTATCTTCTGATCTCCTTGTGGGCATTTCTCATCCATGCTGCTTTAGTTTACTAATTGAGATATTTACTGACTAGCCTTTGCCAAACTAAAAATAAACAATTCCATAAAGCTATCACTACTAGTCTATGTACCGCTGTGGAACTTCAATTCACTGGCTTCTAATTATAAAGCAACATAAGGAAAGCCTGTATTGAAATTGGTCAATGCATGTGGTAATGTTGTAGTGCAAAATTCCAGAATGAAAATACACCCACACCTCACTCAAATGGAATCATCAGGGGTCCATGCTAAATGTGAAATAAGGTCCCGTCTGGTACTTCTAACAACAACACCCCCCTGGATGTGGTCCAAGGTCTTGTCTCACACTCAGTTCCAAAGTAGTACATTGCAACAAATGGATAGTCAGACGAGGCTACTTTTTGCCTTTCCCATCACACCACGCATTTTCTGGCTACGGATCATTGCAAATGTTTCTTTCTCTTCCTGGATTGCCCCCSGCCCACCCATCCAATTCCCCTGTATCATTCATACTATTCCTTTAGGGCCTAGTTCAAAATTCTTCCCTCCTCTTCCCCCTCTCTCTTTCCTAAGTAAACTTTTCTTCCCTTATGACCTCAATATATGTTGTATACACCTGGCGCCCTTCACATTTTAATTACTGGTTTATATGTCTGTCTCCTTTTGTCATGCTCTACCCTGAGTCCAGCTCAGTGTTTGGCACATAGGAAGTGGGCAGTGAATGTTTAAAAATTGAATGTTTTTACACCCTTGACATGGGGATAGAAGAAGAATGCAGTCTTTAAATGAAACTGGAGAATCTAAGTCTCAGATGAGGAGGCGAACATTTTTCAGAGATGTTAGAAAAGAATGATTAGATGAGAATRGCTTTGCCAAGTAGAGATGGTCCTGCTAAAGGAATCGGTTTAAAAGGTACTATGGTCTCTTGGATCATGTTCAAGTCAGACCTGAGGATCTTAGTTCCCTAATAACTGGGTGACCATAAAATGTACTGTCCAAAACCAATATGCATTTAAGAGTGAAAAGGAGTATTATTAATTAGCATATCAACTTAATAGTCATATCTGAGAATACCCATTGCAAACTGGGACTTACAGTTCCTCAACATACAGGGATTGCGAAATCTAACCATCAAGTTTTAGAATGAGAAGCTGCCTAATCACTAGAAAAAAGAACTGTCACAACTGTAGTTCTCTTCATAAAATAAAACAATGTAAAAGACCCCTCTACCAACAAATGTTGTTACACCTTGTGTTTCTTGAATCCTTCYCCAATTTTCACACTACTTGATATACTACGCATGTTATTTATCATGAGATACAACCATGATATATTTCTAATATCCCACCTCCATCCACCTACCCCTTCCCTCCTATATTGCTCCCTCTCCTTGCAGATTCTTTCTGGCTTGGTAAGCTTTAAATGAAACCTCTGAACATTAGAAATAAAAGGAATTTCAAATTTGTTTCATCAAATCCTCTCACTTTATAGCTCAAAAACAACTACCACTGTGAGGACCACAAAGAATTTAAAATGCACTCAGAGTTTACACAGTGAGTGCAAAGGTAGAATTAAAAATATTTTTATTCAGGGAAACTTATTTTATAATACTCTAGAGATAATGCAATAATGGATTAAAAGAATTAATRTAAATCACTTAGGTATCCGAGGAAAGGACTACAGAAGAATTCAAATCAATCCATTAAATACTTATCATAGACTATTATGTGAAACACACTCTGCAGGATATTGGGTCAAATAAAGATAAATAAGACCTAATTCTTGTCCCTAGTAGGGAGTTCAAAATGGAGATTTTTACACATACCCACACACACACACACACACACACACACACAAAGAGAGAGAGAGAGAGAGAGAGAGAGAGAGAGAGAGAGAGAGAGAGAGATATTAAATAGCAGATGGTAAAATGTTTACCAAGAAAAGTAGTACAAGAGGAAAAAAACTATCAAAGGATAGAAAAATGAGAGATCAATTCTACCTGGGCATGGGAGCCTTGGGAAGGATAGCTAAGCCAGTTACCCCCAAATGGTTTTCTGTCAGGTCTGACTCAAAACATTGATGATTTATTTTTGTGGTACTGGGAAAGAACCCAGGGTTACTCTACTACTGAGGGACATCCTCAACTCTTTTTATTTTTGATTTTGAGCCAGAGCCTTGCTAAATTGCCTAGGCTGGCCTCAAAATTGGGATTGTTCTGCCTCAGCCTCCTCGGTAGYTGGGATTAYAGGTGTGCACCACCATGTATTGCTGATAACATCTTTTAACCAAACTTGTGGTTATCCATATTTGCCAATCAAAACAAAAGTGATGGCAGTAAAGAAGACTTTCTTGGTATTTATTACAATGGGCTGAAGGATTTTTTCATAATGTCTGAAAAGTAGAAAAAATCTAAATGTCTATCACTTGCTAAATGGATAAGCAGACTGTAGTACAGACTTACAAGAGCATGCTAGGAATACCAGCAATAAAAGGAACAAGCTGCTCTTACATACAATACTAAAATGAGCCTCAAAAGCAGTATGCTTAAAGGAGCCAGGCCCCAAGGACCCAAATCATATTTTATGATTTAATTTGCATAAACACTTTAGAAAAGTACTGGAGTGACAGAAAGAAGATCAGTGTTGCCAGGTCCTGGAGAAGGGGAGGAACACAAGGACACTTTTTGAATTAATAGATATGTTCTGTATCATTATGATGGTTCTATGACTGTATCACTTGTCAAAACACATGTAACTGAACACTTAAAATTTGTGACTTCTAATGTATTTAAATTTACCTCCATAAAGCTGATTTTTAAAAGGAGCAAATGTTCTAGCATAGAAACATCTATCTTTATTCTTCAAGTTATTCATATTACCTGTAGTCCATGCATGTACTGGCATGACAATGTTGTCTTGGTAGAAGCACAGAAGGAGTGAATCAGCACTGGGTAGGCCTCAAACATATACTAAATACACAATTACTTAGTCTTTTTTTTCTATTTATAGTCTTGAGTGACTGTATTTTCTAAAAATGGCTGCAATGATATTTATTATCCCACTTTCCATATAATTTATTATTTTAAAACTTGCCATTTAAAAATACACACGTCAAAGAGCAAAAATGACTTGTTAGAGKTTTTTTTTTTTAAATGCAGTTTAAATTTTACAATTAGATTGAGGGACCAAGAGTTTCTAATGATTTTAAAATTCAATAATAAGCCAAGGTCAGGAACAATGACTGCATCAAGTCTGAGAACCAAGACCTTACAGTGGCAGTGACAAAGACACCCCTCCTTTATGCTATGTCTCTCTATTAACCATTTTACTTAAGTCTGAAGTACTAGTATAAGACATACAACCCTTTGGGCTACAAGATGTTTCCTTTTAAAATTATAATACAGAGTACTTTGTGACAGTAGCCTATCTGCATGACAAAACTTGTGAGAGGAGGCTAAGGGTGTAGCTCAGTGACATAGTGTTTGCCTAATACGTGTGAGGCCCTATGTTTGATCCCCAGCACCACACACATTAAAAAACAAAACAAAATACCAAAGAAATCTGGAGAAGATTTATAACATGCTTATGAGCTAAAAATCATTCTTGAAGGAATAGAGAAACAACAGGAAGGAACTCCCAGCTGTCTGCTTATCCCAACAATGGTTAGTTTTATCACATCAGTATGCTGAAAAGTATATAACAACTAGTTTCAGGAGTGGGAAGAGAAATCCCTCATTAGTTGATTCATCTGGTTTCAGCATAGAGATTTCCCACCATA